TATGGCTTTCCAGTGGTCTTAAACCAAAGCTCAAAAAACATTATGCCATATTTAAAGTGAAATGTCTGCATTGAACAGTCAAGGAAATGTAATGTCACTCAGGTATTTAGAAAGGTTTTCCTCAAGTGTTGAATCAAGATTTTTGGGATGAAGTCTAGTTACTGGGAAATTCAGTTTACTGCCACAATTCACTGTGCTCTCTGATTATCATTTTTTTGCTGTACTTTGAATTTGGATGCCTTTCCCACAAATCTGGCTTGTGCCGTCACTAAATGGGCGAACACATCCCACTTACCCATTTTCCATTTTCATGGCATTCTTAAGAGTTATTTTAGGTGCTTCTGTCTCAGGCCAAAAGAGTTTGGCAACAGCCAGTGCTGCGGGTGCTGACATAACGGAAGCAGTTAACAAGTGGGTGGACGAAACCTGCAATTTCAGGAGAAAAAAGGCCAACTTAGGTGCAGGTTTTCTGTTGTGCTCAGAATAAATGACACAAAAGCCTTACAAGGGAAAAGACGGGCAGAAATTGATTTTATGCCAGAAAACAATGTGTCTTTGGAGGCTTGGAATAGCTCAAGTAGCCAAGTCAGCATCACCTTGAGAATCAGAGGGAGAAGGGAGGAATTTGTGTTAATTAATCACATCCTCCAGGAGAAGCACAAAACTAAAATCAGATAATTTCAGAAGATAATTAATCCTGCACCGTAGGGACTTTTAAAGAAGACTCTCTGTTGTCCTTTTGAATGTTCAAACAGCTCCTAAGCCCATATTTCATTATATCATCAATTTAGATAGGGGCTATTTGGGGGTGAAGACATAAATATACCCCTTTCTATCTTCCTTTTGCTCTCCTGAAATCCTTTGTGTCTTTACATAGTTTTCACTTATCCAGAGTCCCTTTAAATCTGTATGCTATTTCTGTTTTCCTCGCTGCTGGTCTGCTTAAACTCTTTCCCCTTTCCTCCCCACACACTATTGTTTCTGGATTCTCATCCCTATATTTTCAGAATTCCAGAATCAGCACCTCTCCCTACTCTTATCTGGAGATCTGGTCAAATTGCTATTCCTGAGGTCTCCTTGCCCCTTTTCTTCTCCCCTCTTCCCACTGATTAGCTCTCTGAGTCCTCGATTAAGCTGTGGAATGAAACTCGCCTATCTTGTAAGAGTTCCTAATCACATGGGTCACACAGCTGTTATGTTATTCTATTCCTCCTCTGGGGGTTGCATCTGTGTGTGGCTTGGAAGCTCTGTGCTTGGGGCACATGCACCAGTTATCATAACGTTCTCCAGCCCCATGTCATAGGCCACCACCTCTCAAACTAGGCTGCACATTGGAATCTGGGGACTTTAAAAAAAAAATTACTGATGCTTGAGTCTCATCCCAAGAAATTCTGGTTTAATTACTCTGGGATATGGGCCTGGCATTAGGGCTTCTGAAAGCTCCCAGGTGATTCTAATGTGCGGTAAGTTTTGAGAACTGCTCTAGAC